CCCCCCCCAGGGGCTTTTCCACCCCCCCCCAACTCCCCCCATTCCAAACTTCAGGCTGAATCCCTGCAGTTTTGGGCAATCCCAATTTATTTATCCCCCTCCCCGGCATTGGCTTCGTGCCAGGTGCCACCAACAACCCCCCCCCCAAAATTTGGGTGAGAGGTCCCCCCCCCCCCCCCCCCCCCACAAACCCTGCACCCCAAAAAACTCCCCCCCCTCAGCTCTGCCTCGCGTGTCCTCCCAAGGTCACCCCCAAAAACCTGCCAGAACCTGGAGAGAAAACCCTTCAAAAACCACCCAAGCCCCGTTTTCACCCTTTTTCGCCCCAAAACGGGGCTCGCCCCTGGCACCACCAGTTTTTTTTTTTGGGGGGGGGGTTTCCTCACCCTGGGCGTCCCCCCCGGAGGTGAGGACGGCGATGGCCTTGCCCACGCCCAGGCTCTCGGTGTGCACGTGCCCCGTCGGTGCCATCCTCCTGCCTGCGGAAAAACAGGGAAATCGGGAAAAATCCGAAGCGTGGGAAGGGCTCCGAGTGCCCCCCGAGCCGCTGGCACCGCCGACTGGCACCGCTGCCCCCACGGCCCCTACAAGGGCCCCCCCGGGGGGAGGGACGGCCCTGCTGGCACCGGGGTGTCCCCCCCGCCCCCAGACCGGGGCCAGTCCGTCCCTACTGCTGTCAATCTGTCCTTACTGGTGCCAGTCTGTCCCTACCGGTTCCAGTTAGTCCTTACTGGTGCCAGTCTGTCCCTACTGGTGTCAATCTGTCCTTACTGGTGTCAGTCTGTCCCTACTGGTTCCAATCTGTATTCCAGTCTGTCCCCAAACTGGTGCCAGTCAGTTCCTGCTGGTTCCAATCTGTATTCCAGTCTGTCCCTACTGGTGTCAGTCTGTCCTTACTGGTTCCAATCTGTATTCCAGTCAGTCCTCCACACTGGTGCCTGTCTGCATTCTTTGCTGGTGCCACTCTGCCCTCCTTACTGGTGCCAGTCTGTCCTCCTTACTGGTGTCAGTCAGTCCTTACTGGTGCCAATCTGTGTTCCCTGTTGGTGCCAGTCTGTCCCTTCTGGTTCCAGTCTGTCCCTGTTGGTGCCAGTCTGTCCCTTCTGGTTCCAGTCTGTCCCTACTGGTTCCAGTCTGTCCTCCTTACTGGTTCCAGTCTGTCCCCACTGGTTCCAGTCTGTCCCTACTGGTTCCAGTCTGTCCTCCTTACTGGTTCCAGTGTGTCCTCCTTACTGGTTCCAGTCTGTCCCCTGTGGTTACTGCTCTGCCCTCCGTACTGGTCCAAGCCTGCTTTGCTTACTGGTCCCAGTACTCCCAGCTGGTGCCAGGCCATGTTCTGTATTGGTCCCAGTTTGCTCACAGTGCTGGTCCCAGTGTGATGTCACCTGTCCCAGTGTGGTGTCCCTGTCCCCCAGTAAGGGTGTCCCTGTCCCAGTGTGGTGTCCCTGTCCCAGTGTGGTGTCACCTGTCCCAGTGTGGGGTGTCCCTGTCCCCAGTAAGGGTGTCCCTGTCCC